CGGTGGTGGTGTGAAGCAGGGTCCCAGCAAGAGAAGGGCCCCCCCAAATTTTCACGCGGAAACGCGGGCAGTGCCGTGGTTCCTGTGGGTAGCAGTGCTCCCAGCGGCCTCGGTCAAGCAATGCCTCCTGTCCGCAGGCTGGCAGCGTCCCGCTCGTTATTCATCATCCCACCCGCTGGTGTGAAACAAAGCTTAGGGAAGGAGTTGGGCTCGGCTGCCGATGGGGACACGCGCAGTCCTTCCTTGAGCTGCTGCCCCAAAACCTGGCCCGAGGGCACCGTGCACAAGGGCTGGCTCTGCCTCGGGGCTCAGCACTGCTGTTATGGATGTGGGCGATGCTCTGCCGGCATGAGGATGGCACAGGGGCTCCTTGCCTGGTGTTTTGCAGCAGCCGATCACCACTGGGACTTGTTAAGAGCGTGCTTTCAAACAAAGATATTCCCTGGTGCTGTGAGATGTGTCAGCAGCACAAGGGTTAACCCTGCTTTCCCTCTCTTTCCATGGTGAACTCGGTGGCGTGGTTGGGGATAACCTCGTTAGCGGCTGCGCTGCGGCAGCGATGCCCCTGGGACAGAGCAGCCCTATAAAATGGAGCTGTGTGTTTCGGGGGAGCGCTGGGAAATGGTAGCTGAGCCGCCTTGGCAGGCAGCTGGCAGGGTGCTGCCCCCGCCATGCACAAGCCCACGGCCACTCGGGGTGTCACTGAGGGGAGCGGCTGGAGTGGGCTTTTGGGGATGGGGCAGGTTTGTCACAGTGGGTCTGGGTGCTGGTAACGAAGCTGTGCCTGCAAGGGAAGCAGTTGCAATCAGTCCTGGATAGGGCTGCCCTGAGGGTGCTGGGTGCTGTGAGGGGCCAGCCCAGCCCTGATCCCGCTGCTCGGGGGGCTCTTCTCTGGGCTGGGCTCCGAAATGGCCCCTGAGACTCAGCTCCTCCTTGGCCGCCTGCAGAGCGGGCGCTCAGGGCTGGGGTCAGGGATGGCAATGCGGGTGCACACAGGGACCTCGGCACCGGCTGTGAGGGCACCTGTGTTGTGCCAACCACGCAGCACCCAGCCCCACAGTGGGGTCTGGGGAAGCCCGGTGATCCCCTCCCAGTCTGCCATTTCTCAGATAGGCTGGTGAGCTCCCACCATCCTTCTCGGAGCTGGTGCTGGTGCCCAGGAATTGTTTGCTGCCTGTGCCATTGTGCCACAGGCCCTGTTTCTGGTGGCCACCTCCCCTTGCTGCAGGAGAAGATGGGTTCCTTATGCCTGAACATTCATTTGCTCTGCTGATCGACAGCCTGCGGTCTGGCTGAGCCACCCCAATTGTTCCCAGTGTGCCTGGACAAAGAAGTGCCTAGAGAGATGGCAAGGCTTAGGAGAAGAGGATGCGCTACAAATATTTCCACTGCCTTGAACACCACCAGTTTCCCCCACACACTCCTGCAAGAACGGGAGACGGCAGCTCAGTTTCACAGGCAGGGTCGGATGCCTCCCTGCCTGTCCTAAGGCAGGCTGAGGGCTTGTTCCTGGGGAGCGTGTCCTCGGCAGCGACACAGTAAGGGAGGCAGATGCCGAGGGCCTCTCCCCAGAGCATGGGCCATGGGAGCCCCAGGTAGCCCCAGGCACCCCCTGCGGGTCCCTGTCCCCAGGGACTCACGTGGCACCGCAGGGTGGTGGCACTGCCCTGGGGCCTCCCGTGTGCTCAGGACTGCTGTTCCCAGGCAGACAAAGCAATTTTGGGAGCTGCAGTTTGCAGCTGGTGTTTTCACCGGGTGACAGCCTGGGTGCTGCATCATCCCAAAATCTGGAGGAATCAGGGAGGGGAATGGCATGGGATGAGGAGGGGCAGGACTGGCTTCATCAGCCATGCTGCTCTGTGCAGGATTAATGCCACCATGGAGGCAACGCCTTTTCCTTTCCCCCAGGGCTGGTGTTCAGCTGGGCCAGGTCTGAGCACTTGCACACGTCGCTGTGCCCTCACTGCAAGCTGTGGGCTTTGCCTGGTGTGGGGCTCACCTCCAGGCTGCTGTTAGGGCCATTGCCTGCTGGTTCTTCTCCCCAGCTTGTCTCACCTGCCACAGCTCATTCCCAGCTGTTGGCCAACCCCGAGATTTGTTGCCCTATTTTGCAAACAGGAAAGCTGGGACGGGGATAAAGACCAAGCTTGCAAAGCCCTTGGCATGGAGCGGCCCCCAGTGAGGTCTGCGAAAGTTGGGGGGGTCCCACGGGAGCTCTGCCGGTTCCCATGCGACCTGCTCAAGGTCAGGCAGAGCAGGCAGCGAGCCCTGGTTCCTTCCTTCCCCGCGGGCTCGAGGCGGAAGTGGAGCCTGCGTCTGCTCCGCCACCTCTGAGCAGGGGGAGGGCAGCGGGCGCCGCTGAGGCTTTTGTTCTCGGGGCTTGGATGGCTCCTTCACACATGAAGGGAATGGCATCGGCGTTTCCAGTGGGGAAAAGATGCCGCATCCAAAAACATCCCGGTTCCCTCGGTCATTAGCATCTGCCACGGCTGAGAATCACAACTGCATTGAATTGGTGCCGGGAAGCAACAGACCCTGCGAGCGCAGCCCCCACCTCCCAGCTGCTCTGGTGCGGTTTCACAGGAGGCTGGCAGGGATGAGTGTGTGGGATGCCTGGGAGCACAGGACCCATTGCAGCCTGGCTCCTGGGGACCACTCTGCCGTCTCCCCTGGGTTCAGGAGACACTGCCTGGGAGCCTGGGGTGCAATAAGGTGGTCCCCAAGGCGGCAGAGGGTCCCCACTGCAGCAAGTGGGGCCGCATGAGCATCTAAGCGTGTGAGGGGGTAACTGTGCTGCACATTCGGCATGGCAGAGCCACCCCTGCCCCACTGCAGCCCCTGCACTCGGGGCCGCGCTGCATCTGGGAGGGCCCACGTGTCCCCCCTGACTCCCACCCCTGCATCAGGGGCCTGGGCAGGAACGGGGGGGGCTGCAGCACGGCCGCCCTCAGAGGAAATGGGACGAGAAAGGCCTCGGGGAGGCAAACCGCCGCAGGAGCACAGTTAGCTTCACCCCAAGCTGTAAGGGGCCCCTGTTTCCCCTGCGCCCGCTGTCCCGCGGAGATTAGCTCTCGGCTGGCTGGGCTTGACAGGCAGCCGGAAGAGGCAGCGCAGCGAGCACCATGGGGTCCGCCCGGAAACCCGGGCAAAACGGGCACCGCGGCAGCCCCTTCCCTCCCTGCTGCGGCTCGGTCCCCGCTCAACCCTCCCCATGGCTGCGCTCGCCGCCTGCCAAGCCCCAGAGCAGGGGTCTGGGCATTCGCTGTCACCCCACGTGCTGGTGGCAAGGTGGCAAAGCCGGGGCCGTGCTGCACAGGAAAGGCATGGCTGGCGGGCTGGGGGTCCCAGCGCCGTGCTTGCCCCTGATCGGCACAATCAGGAAGGCAACCCGGTTCTCCCGCAGCCGGCGTCGCCCCGTGCTGGTGCTGCCAGAGCCGGCTCCCTCCCCGCCCCTCTTCCCTGCCGGGGCTGCCAGCTCGGCTCATGCTCAGCCAAGTGCGCAGGATGAAAGGGTGCTCCCGGGGTACTGGGGAGCGCTGGTGGCAGCATGAAGGTCACGCCGCGTCCCAGCGGCGCGGCGGCAGCGCTCTCTAATGCTGCTGATCAGAGATGCCCGTGGGGATTGCGGAGCAGCATGGAGGTGACCCCTGCGCTTGGGGTCAGCAGGCCGCGGCATGCGTCAGCCCAGAGCAGCTTAATCCCAACCGGGCAGGGGGAGGAGCGCGGGGGGGTGGCAGATTCCTGACCCACAACCGAGCCTGGCATCTTCTCCGGCACCGCCGTGGTCCACCTCCCGCCGTAACTGGGTAGGGTTGAGTGGTGCCGCCCTGGCACCGGGAGGGCAAGGAGAAATAATAGGAAGAGGCAGCAGAAAACATAAAGCAAAAAAATTCCTTTTGTCTCGAGAAAGCAGCCCTTCGGACATTTTCTGCCTCCCTGAAATAGCTTTTCCTGCCACCCAAAAGGAGATGGAATATTTTGCAGGGCATTATTTCGGAGGATTTTTTTTTAAATTTTTACTGTAATCATGTGACAAAGCTTGAAATGCTTGTGAATGGCTTGATACGTGGGAAAATAAATATGCAAATACTGTCCCCGGGTTTGCCAGCAGGATTCCCCGAGCTGTTTCCCAAGCACACGGTTCAGCCTATAGTCGTTATCGGTTCTAGGCACTCATGCAGGACCGCATGAAATGCAATGCAGAAAATCGCTGGGTTTTCTGCAAGCTGAAAACCTGCGTGTAAAGCTGTAAGTAAAGGAGGCTGAGGGGAGACCTCATCGCTCTCTGCAACTACCTGAAAGGAGGTTGTAGCGAGGTGGGTGTCGGTCTCTTCTCCCAAGTAACAAGCGATAGGACGAGAGGAAACGGCCTCAAGTTGCGCCAGGGGAGGTTTAGATTGGATGTAAGGAAAAATTTCTTTACTGAAAGAGTGGTTAAACATTGGAACAGGCTGCCCAGGGAAGTGGTGGAGTCCCCATCCCTGGAGGTATTTAAAAGACGTGTAGATGAGGCGCTTAGGGACATGGTTTAGTGGGCATGGTGGGGTTGGGTCGACGGTTGGACTCGATGATCTTGGAGGTCTTTTCCAACCTCTATGATTCTATGATTCTATAAGTTGCAGGGAGCTTTGCGACTCCTTTCTCACGGAAACTGTCTTTTTGTGCACAGCTTTAACTGGAAGCAGATGCATGCACAGGGAGCCGCAGTGCGTCTTGTCCCGCAACAGGCTTGCAGGATGCCACGGGACAGTGAATTACTGCACGTGTAGGCTGGAAACGGAGAGGATCTTACCGGTATTTACCCCGGTGCTGCAGTTCATTCCCTCTGCTGTGACCGCCGAGTTCGTCAGGGACACGGAGGTGCCTCGGGAAGTCCCGGCAGTGGACGGAGCACGCCGTGAGAGGCAGCTTCGTTCAGCTCTGTGCCGTGGGAGGAGGCAACAGCGAGCTCGGGCTGCCAAAAGGCACTGGACAATTAAACAGTCCGGCACAGGAGGAACCTTGGCGAACGTAACATCTTCCACTGCCCCCATGTCAGGCCAGGGGCACCCCTCTGCTTCCCGATGAAGAGCTCATCCTCACCGTTAGAGAACTGAGGAGTCGAGCTAATGGCGCTTCGTGGGGTTTGGGCCTATGTCCAGAAGGGAACAGGCTGGATCTAACTGTGCAACGTCGCGCACGCTGCCGATGAAAGAGCCGCTCGCTGGAGCCCAGCACACACAAACTAGATTTATCTCGTCACCCCCTGAGATGTTTTTCCCCCCGCGCATGGAGGCAGATGTTTGGTTGTTTAAGATTTAAAATCATCTACCACTGAGATACTTTTCAATAATGAGGCATGATTGGGAAGGATGTAATCGATCCATTTCTCAATACAAGAGAAGCAAGAGGCTTGCAAGTGAGCGTTAAGTGATTCACCAGGTTAGATGCTCTCCTTGCTTCCCCTGTCCTCTCTGCTTAATTCTTCCAAGTTTGAAAATGATTCTTTGCTTCTGTTTCTCTTTTTCTCAAAAAATCAAATTCTGATACAAATGGAGCAGGATGGGAATGGGTTTATTTCTTTGCTATTTTAATACAAGTATCCACATATTTCTGACCACAATTTCTCATAATAGTATAAAAAAAAAAAAAGAGATGAGTGGACTTGTAGCTGCTTCGAAACAGTTGCTGAAGTTTCAGGTTCTGAAGGACTGATGGGTCCTTCTGGGCTGTGACACCACTGCTTGTTGCACAGCCTTGTCTTCTCTTATCAGGGTGTTAGAGTCAGCTGGGAAAGAGCAGGCCTGCAGGCCCACAAGGAGAAATTAAACATCCTGGACAGATGTCGGGTCAGGCCCATGCAGTTTCAGCTGAAGCTTTCCAGGCTGGTTTTGACCCGTTCCATTTCATGCAGAAAACTGTAGAACTGGGGCAAAGTTAACTCTGCAGAAAAAGAGAGGCATCAAGTCTTAGATTTCAGGTTACGCTTCCAACACCGGCAAAGCCATTCTGGTGCTACCGCAGAGCAACTCGTGTTCACCTAAGCTAGGCAGGGTTAGACACTTTGGCTCTCGGCAGCTGTTTCTTTACGCTAGGCTGGGCTGCGCGGGGTTCCGGGCTAGGATTCTCCCAACAGCAGCTGACACTTGGGAATTGTTTACTTTCTTTGTCTGCCAATGCTGCTCTGACCGCTTTTCACGACTCCATGGCATATCTGTATTTACTTACGCAAAGATGTGAAGACTCCCCAGCAGTCAGTGTTCCTAAATACTTCCAGAGCGACTGCGGCGGGGAGAGGCCAGGGCAGGAGCAGCCGCAGCATCCCCCAGCGATGCTCTCGCAGTGACCCCTGCTGGGTCCGCGCCCAAAGCTCCCCCACCTCCAGCAACGCCCGGGAGCTCTGAGCTGCCGCTCCGCTTTCACATACTCAAATGCTTGCTTCTTTTCCAGAACTGTTAACTCACCTATATATACGTTTTCCATTTGGCTCCCTTTTTTAATCACCAGCTTCAGCTTGGGGGAAGAAAAAGCAGAGGTATTTTAATTCAGAGAGACCCGTATTCTGAGCGCCATGAAAAGACAGAAGTACAGGAGTCTGCTGTGAGTTTCAGACGGGCAGACTGCTGCCAAGCACGCACATCTTTGACAGGCTTTTTGGGAAGTGTCACTGTAGGAATAGATTCCTTCGGCATTGAGAGGATCTCTGGAAGTCCTTATAAATGATCACATTTCCCCTCCCTCCCCAAGATAGCGTGACCTTTGCTAGATTGAGCTTTCTGAACAGCTTTTCAGAGTGAGCTACACTTCTGTGATACATGATGTCTTCAGAAGAGAAACAAATAGCAGTGTGCCTGCTATCTGCTGGCAGCTGCACTCAGAAGACTGAAGCAGATGCACTGTTGCAGAGCTTGCTCCTACGAGATCTAGCTTTCCTCTAGTTCCTCTCACAGCCAGTACTTCCCACGTGCCTGGTCGCAGCTTGTTCCTCAACTGCACTACAACCTGAACTCTCTGATGTAGGAGATTTACCTGTAAGAAGATACTTCCCACTTTTTCCAGTTCACTGCTCCCAGCAGTCACTGTGAGTCCAAAAGAAGAGAAGGGAGATAATCTGTTAGCTAAACTGTGAAATAAAAAGTTATTTAGCCGAGAGCTGCTGTTGGGTTTCCCAACCCATTCAGTTTATGTTTTAGCTCTATTACCTCCAAACTTCCACTCCATATCTATCAGCTGGTTAATCATCAGCGTCTGACCAACAGCCAGGCGTGTGAGGGCGGGGGAATTCACCTTCCACTGCAAGAGCAAGAGACACACAAGCAATCAATTCGGAGAGGCCTCTATTTATGTTACCTGTAATTTCAACATAGATTGGAAACTAGGCAGACTGACGGCAGAAGCCCAAAGTGGAGGTGTATAAAGGGGCAAACTAATGTGGTCAGGAGGGCTTTCAAAGATGTTTGAGTCCTGCTAGGATTTCCACCCGCTTTGTCACTTCTGTAAATGAAACTGACTGTTTTTGTTTTAACACTGGTTCAGTGTAACAATATCTGCCCAAAAAGTCATGTGTTCATGTAACTGCATGACCCCGGGGCTCAAAGCATGCAAAGCAGAAAAACAATCAAACGAAAGCCGCGCAGAAGTGCAGGAATCACTAAACCGATGAGGCAGAGGCCAGGGCAAACCAGAAGTATCATTAGACAAAGTGTTGCTTATCAGTTATCCGAGGATCTTCAGAATTCTGAGCTGGTTTTGAAGAAAGTACCCAAAGTGCTGACACATCTCAGTATCACAGGGGAGTTTTACAAGTTCCCACTCAAAGACTGTCATTTTGTTAGCTTAGAAACAAGCAAAAATATATTAATACCTGTTCTGCAAAATAACTGGCTTTCTCCTCACTGAGGCCTGTGGGAGAAACCATATGAGATTACCATACGTGATAAATATTAATTATCTTTTATTTAGTGAAAGTCAGGTGACCTACCTAGAGCAATAAAATCTGCTCTGACTTGTTCAGAAGACAAATTCCTTTTCAGGGCACCTGAATAAACAATGCAAAGAAGAAAAATCACTTTTTACTGAGTCAAACCAATCTTTACCGAGTCAAATCAATGCAGGGACGGAGAGCCTGCGATCGAAAGCCTCTGTTCTTGGACTGTGTTTTGAAACAAACCACAGCTCATCAAGATAGGAAATACAGCTGTGCCTGCCGGTATCTTTGCAGATGCCCAGTGCTTTAAAAGTCAGGGCGATGGGAGTGCCCGAGAGAGAGAGGGGGAGAGATTTCATTGCAGGTATCCATGGCAACAGCAGCAGCGGCTGTGTTTTGAAGTTGCTGCTTTCTCTCCTATAGAAGCTTTGCTTGTTAAAGGAGAACTGTTAAGGCTGGCAGGCTACTAATTTGACCTACCTGCTGTGTTTTGGATTATGGGTGTGAACGTGTGCATATAACACTTTCCCCTGCTGTGCCTGCCTCCTTTGTTCTGGGGCACAGGCAGCACATGGAAGTTTACGGGGATTCTGTTCTCTGAAGCCAAGAGCAGGAATCTCATAAATTCAAAGAGCCTGCCAGTCCCACGTGGCTTCCCATCTGCGTAGCACACAGGCAAAGTTATCTGCCGTAATCTGTTCCGATGCTGTCTGTGGCATCCCAGAGCTAACGAAAAGTTACAACGGGATTGGAGCCAGAGCACACAAAGAGGAATGACGAGACTGAGTGCACCTAGTCCAGAATCAGGAAGGGAGAAAATGCCGATTCCGCATTAAATACCCCCAAGACAGTTGTAGGAAAGGAAATTATTCATTGCCACTCCTGGACAGAAGAAATGGCTTGAAGTAGTAGAACAAAAGTTTAGACCAAACGCAGGAAACCGTTGTGCAAGGATTCATGGCTGTGAAGAAAGCTACGGGGAACCCAGGACTGAAGGATCGTAGCGAGGGACTATTAATAACAAGAAGGATCAATGGGATGAACATGAGCGGAGGTGTTTGATGCATTATCATGTCAAATGGCAGCCACAACATCAGAGTAATCTCATAAAGTGCTGGAGTCTGAGGTATTCAAGGGGAATCCCCCTGCCCCTCTTCCCCACTATTTATGAATGAGAAACTGCTGGACACGTAAGTGTTTTTCTAAAACAAGACTGCAAGGACAGATGTCTCCTTTACATGGCCTAGAACTATGCCGGTTTCCAGCCCGCTCTAGAGGGGTGTGTACCCTGTCTTATCCGTCTCAAACAGCGCTTGTCCTCGTAGGAATTGCAGTACTGGGTCACTTGGATGGAAGTTCCTACAAAGACTTAGTGCCAACATAAGGCTGCACTGGTCTGGCAAAAAGGGATTTACAGGTACAAGTTAAAGCAAGCACAACATTGTCACAGTGCTGTGCCTGCATTTAATGCACAGATATTTAAGTGAGTTCAGTTAAGCCTGTGAAATGTGTGTGCAGGCAGGCCGTAAAGAATACAAAGCCCGAGTCACCAAACAGGGATATTTCAACAGGAGAATTTTTGATTCTTAGATGCTAAGGCATTTATTAGCTACCATTAGCACTTACTGGGCAAACCAAGTGCGCTGTCGTTCTGAAGACATACTTCAGCAGCATGCAGAAACGGACGCAACAGTTTGGCCTCAGGGTAGCATATGCAAATGTATCACTTACCATTAGGTACCAGAAGAATACTTTTGACAATGTTTTTCAGGGGGCCCAAGCTGATTTTATTCATGGTGGCAAAATCCGAGAGCTGAGTCAGAAACCTTTCTACCTGCTCAAGAGAAAGAGCAGTGACACAATCTCATCTCTGCATGTTTCTCACCAGAGAGCTGCATTCACACACTTCTCCGTGTTCTGCACACGCCTTACCTCCTTGGGCTCCGTTAGAAAGCGGAAGAGCACTTCAGTCAGCGCTGAGAATTGCTGTGAAGAAACAGGACAGTGTTACAGAGTCGGGCATCAGCACGCATCATTTCTCAGCACCTTGCCAGCCCCGTCACCACCACGACTAGGTGGTGATATACCATCCTGACGCAGCTCCACCTGCCTCCATTGGTCCCAGAG